AGCTCCTCGAATCTAGAAAGTAGTGAAGGAAACCCCGCTCGATCCTGATATACCCATGGTACGGAGAATGCGGTAGCTCTCATCTAGAAATCCCGGAGCATCCTCCGATGCTAGGCCGCTTAATATAGGAGGCTTGTACTTCTTGAACCTCTCAAGCCTCAGCTGCTCCTCCTTGGAAGTCGCTGCCTTATCCTCAGGCTAAACTGGCACTCAGATGGTATAGGAATAATCTCAGGGACCTGCTCAACATGCACTCGTTGCTCAGGAGTGCGGATGGCGGGAGTGTATGCTCCTCCCCTGGCCTAAGATGTAGCTGCAGCAAGGGGAAGCAACCCTGCCTGATCCAGAGTGGTGTACATGCTCATGAACTATGCCAAAGTCTCCTGAAGAGCTGGAGTAGTGGTAGCAGTAGGTGTGTCAGGTGCCTGGATTCTGGCTAGAACTGCTGGTGGTACCTCGGCGGCAGCTCGCGCAGGTGCTCTAGCCGCAGCATGTGCACGTCCTCAGCCTCTACCCCGGCCCCGGCCCCGACCTCTAACGACTGCAATAGGGGGCGCGGGTGCCTGATCATCTCGGGTAGCACGTGTACTCACCATCCGTAAGAGAATAGAAGGCAGAAGTTTAGAATTGTGAAGTCAAAATATCGCACGACAAGGAAATCAAATGAAGTGGAATTTTCTTAACCGTTACATAGCCTCTCGTAGATAAGTTCAGACATCTCCGTACCGATCAGCGAGACTCTAATAAACCGGCTTGTGATTCCGGACTCCTATGAACCTAGAGCTCTGATACCAACTTGTCACAACCCCAGTTCTCCCTCTGTGAACTGTCGTGACGGCACCTAGTCTCTACGACTAGGTAAGCCTAACAAATGTATAACATAAACGAAACTTGCGGAAGAATAATCAAAACCAAAATAACTGAATGGAAACAATAGTTATAATGCTGCTCAGCATATACAACACAACATTTTCAAACCAAGTACACTATCCCAAAACCCGAAAACTCACGGAAACACAAGCCTTTGGAATACCTAATAGTCTAACTCCAGAATATCTAACAAGAAAGAAAAATACAGAAGGGCAATGTTTAACAGCTAGAATAGAAAGGGAATTCTCGGTCTGCAGATGCGACAGATGTACCTCGAAGTCTCTAGAGAAGTCGCCTCCCTCAAGGATGGTAGGACTGAGTAGCGGTACTTGGATCTGCACATGAAAAACATGCGCAGAAGGGGCATGAGTACACTACAGCGGTACTCAGTAAGTGCCAAGCCTAACCTCGGTTGGGTAGTGACAAGGAAGGTCAGGGCCCTACGGAGGTTAAATAAAATATAAAGATCAACAGTATAGAACAGAATAGTATAAATAAGTACGACATGTACAGGACATCAACAATTATACAAAAATAAGGTAAACATGGAAAGGAAATACAGCTCAGCACCAATAATAACAATCGGGGATCTCCTAGGATACCGTCCTGTAGTCCCATATGTACATATCCGGTGGATCTCCTGGGATCCCATCCCGTAGTCCAACTCATAGTACGCGGGGATCTACCGGAATCTCATTCCGTCCCAAATGTAAATACCCAATACTGGGGGAATCTACCGGGTGCATTCCTATAGTTCCATATAACTGTGTAGGGAGATTTACCAGAATCCCACATCCGTAGTCCCAAAATAAATAGACAAGGGTGAGCTACCGAAATCCCACATCCGTAGTCCCAAAATAAACAAACAAGGGGGAGCTATCGGAGTCCCACATCCGTAGTCCCAAAATAAATGCACGGCAGCAACAGGAAGATATACAGAGATGGTAAAATTTCATATTAAGGCAATAAGTGATTCTAGCCTAGCATGTTGCACAGAATTCAGGTAAGGCAAGTTGAGCAAATAAAGCAATTAAGTCACTTAGACATGCTTTCCTAAACTAACAACATGCTTAATAATGCAAGTAATAGAAACAGGAAAGGAAATATACTAGTAATTACTTAAAGAAAATCGGATTTCCAACAATTAGCACAAGTACGCACTCGTCACCTCACGTACAAGGCATCTCAATTACAAAATATACCAATCCTAAGGGGAAGGTCCCCCACACAAGGTTAGACAAGTCACTTACCTCGAACCGGCTCAATAATCAATCTGAAACCACGCTCTTGCCCCGAGTACTCGACTCCAAATGGCCCAAATCTATTCAATTCAATTTTATAATGTAAATAACACTTCAAGTAACTGATTCTACAAGAAATTCTAAGCTAATACGCGAAATTAGGTAAAATGACCAAAATGCCCCTTGGGCCACGTCTCAAAATTGGATAAAATTTATATTTTCAGAATCCTCACACTCACACGAGTCTAACCATATCAAAATTATCTCAATCTAATGTCAAATCCCCAATCAAAACTCAATTTCTTGGTCTAAGAACTTTTCCCCAAATTTCCACCAAAATTTCTAAATTAAAGGATGGATTTAAGTGTTGATTCATGGAAATTAGTCTAAACCGAGTAGGAATTACCTACCCAAATCGCCCAGGTGAAAATCTCTTCAAAAATCGCAATCTTCCCAGTTCCCAAGTCCAAAATATGAATTATGACTCAAACCCTAGATTTTGGGTTTTAAATCTGCCCAGGCAGTGCCGTAATCGCGAACGCGGTCAAACCTTTGCATTCGCAAAGCACAAATTGACGTTGACCATTTTTCTTTCTTCGCGAACGCATCTCCTTCTTTGCGAACGTGATGGCTCAGCTCCTAGCCCATTGCGAATGCGGCTCCCTTCTCGCGAACGCGTAGATCAAGACCCCAGCTCTTCGCGAACGCGGGACCTCCCTTGCGAACGCGAAGGACAAACTTTAAGCTCCACGTCCTATCCCTTCGCGAACGTGATGGCCAGTCGCGAATGCGAAGAATAATTAGTCTGCAATACACTGACAATTTTTCTGCAACTTCAAACATCAAGAAATGGTCCGGTTAACCATCCAAAACTCATCTGAGGCCCCCGGGACCTTAACCAAACATACCAACATATCCTGTAACCTTATTTGAACTTGTTCCAACCTTTGGAACGCACAAAACTACATTAAAACACCTATTTCTCATCGGATTCAAGCCTAAGAATTCCAAAAACTCTAAAAATACGCTTTCGATCAAAAAATCTGTCAAACCTCGTCCGAATGACCTGAAATTTTGCATACAAATCACATTCAACACTACGGAGCTACTCCAACATTCGAAATTCCATTCCGACCCTCGGATCAAAATCTCACTATCGGACCGGAAACTTCAAAAAATCAACTTTCGGCATTTCAAACCTTAATTTGCTACGGACCTCCAAAACACAATCCGAACATGCCCCTCATCCTGAAATCACCCAACGGAGCTAACGGAACCATCGGATTTCCATTCTGAGGTTGTCTTCATACTGTTCTAACTGCGGTCAACTCTCCAACACTCAAGCTCTCATTTAGGGACTAAGTGTCCCAAAACTCTCCGAAACTCAAAACAGAATATCCCGGCAAATCAAAATAGCATAAATAATTTTGGAAAAACCAGTTAATAGGGGATCGGGACGTTAATTCTTAAGACGACCGACCGGGTCGTCACACTTGTAGATTTATTTTGTGACGAAAAACTCAAGTAAAAACCTATTAAAATTGTGGGCCTTAGCGGTTTAGTATTCGACCTTAAATAATTACAAATTAGGAGGATCCATCCAATAACTTAATGACTTGCTTGGGTCATCCCGATCCATATATTAGAGGTGTACTACCACTAACCCTTACTTGTTTGTCATATAACATAAAAAAATTGAAGAGGTAAGTTTCTTCATGACGTGGTGTTTAGATTAACTTGTGACACACCTCAATCAATTCATTTGACTACTTATCACAGTCTACAAATACAGTTAAACTTATCATATAGTGGAAAGGAGCGATTCTTGTAATTAAAATTTTTAATAATCCAGTTCGTTACTTCTATGACGCAGTCATTCAATCATCTCCTCAAAAAGTCGAAGAGGTAACTTACGAGGTGTTTGTTACGAAAGAAAATATTTTTCTGGAAAAAAAGTAATTTTTTAATTTATTTTCTATTGTTTTTGATGTTTGATTTAGTAATATATTTTTAAGAAAAAATATATAATTTAGGCAAATATAGGAAGATGAAATGAGTAATGGTGGGGGAGGGTGATAGGGAGTCCGAAACTTTTCTAGTGCCTTTTTGGGCAAAAAATACGTTTTTACTACTAAAAAAAAGTTACATAAATAACTAAAACGCAGTATTATATTGCGTTTTAATTTAACGAAAAGTTAGCCGTTAAAGTAAAACACAGTACTACACTGCGTATTATAGGAAAACGCAGTATAATACTGCGTTTTCCTTAAACGCAGTATTGTACTGCGTTTTCCTATTAATATTGGGCTCAGCTATATTTAATTAAAGGGAAACTCAGTACAATACTGCGTTTAAGGAAAATGCAGTATTATACTGCGTTTTGCTTTAAAATAATAAAAACCCTTCTTCCTCAAGACAACGACAGAACCATCACCATTAAAAAAGA